TTGAGTACCACAGGAAAGTAAGCTTTTTTATTTGCAAAGATAATGAGAGTAAGTAGCCTGTAGAGGAATTTTTCATTTCTTCGTAACTGGTCTTAAGAGATGAAGAGGATCGATGGAAGTGATGTCCAGATATTATCAAAATCTGAGTCAAGATATACTGATCCGATAACTATTTTCCATAAAGCAAGAATATGATACTGATTTTTCTCATGAATTTATCTATCTCAACCTCGTCTATAGCTACTTGCTATTTCGGCACTAGGTGACTTGTACCTTGTGACAGCGTCCTCTTTGGCATTTTTGTGACCAGCCCTCCCTAAACACTTTTTCAGATGAACAAAAATTACGCCGTTTTTAATCTTACTCTAAATCATGGCACATCATGGACGTTTTCAGATTGTCAAGCTACGCAAAAAGGTCACTCGAGCATATCGCTTACCAACAACTAATAAGCCTAATGAAGTAAGTGAAGATTTATGAATAACTTACTTCACGTTCCAACCGTAGAGTAGCCAGACATGCGACCCTCCTCTTATCTCTACATCTAGTTCTCTACAGACAATTTGTGATCATTTTGGAGACAGAAAAGCAAGCAGTTGAGAGATAGTAAAAGGAGTTTCTGCTTTCATGCTCTAGACTTATTTGGTGATTTGTTAATCATTGACTCCTTCACAGTTGACTGGTTTTAGTTGTCCATTGATTACGTAACCATGTTACCAGACGAAAAATCCACATTTGAGGATATTGAAGAGATCACAAGGTGGGTATTCGGATACCATTACTTTCACAACCCGAAAAAAGACATTTTTCCGACTTCACCAGACATGACCAAAATGTGGATTTGCACTTTCAGCATAAGTGCAATGGAAGACACTGTGAACGTTATGACAAATCGCTTAAAAAGATTGAGTTATTTCCTCTTTCCGCACCATATTTCAAATCCTTGTTCAAAACGCGTTTTTAGCTCTCTTCAAAATTTTAACACGTTGACAACAACTTGATCTGTTATTACCTCAGACCGCACGCCGTGTATGCGGCGGCGCAGCGCGGCAGGAGTCTTTATTATCACGCCTTGCAACGGAAATACGGGAAACTGTTTGGTATTCTGAGGTACTGAGGGGACATTACTGTTACTAGATAATGAAATAAAGCAGAGATACTTCTATGAAAAATCTCCTAGTTAAGAGAATGCCCATGTATCGAAAAACGTTTCAACGGGAAAAGCACATTGTTGTGAAAGACAATATATTTTCAGCTAATGTATAACTTTATCTCTTTCTTTTTCACCAACGTTTTTGCAGTCATTCGATAGCATGAGAAATACCTATTCCTCCATCGATTTCGATTGGTAAAATAGCTCTTTCACTACGTCTTATCAACCAAAAAAACAAGCAAAGTTCACGTTTTGTATGTGTGTGGCATTCCCCTCAAAATCCAAGGTTTTAGGAGGAAGCATCGCCATTGTTTCAGCTGCAGATAGCTTTATCGATGTCTCTCCTATCATATTTTAACATTTAGTGGCGGCGAAATTTTCTCTAGTGGCGATAAGAATCCACATTTCATTAGAAAACTGCCATGACATCGTTGTAGCCGCCGCGCGACAGCGCCACGTGCCGCGCAGGATTTCAATGCCGTTGTCAACGTGTTGATAGTCATTCATTAATTCAAATTTCGAAAATTTCGAAGATTTACTCGATTTTTGAAAGAGACACCTTATTGCGCTGTAGCAATAAGTAAATAAAATCATGTTTCAAACGGCCATTTTTCGCTGGAAAAAGGTTTTCACCTGGGCTTTTATGATCATTCGATAGCTAATCTCGAAAGTTTCAACGGTATACTTGATCTTGAAAAGAGGCTCCTTAGGGTGCTGTAGCAGCCAAAGAAAGATTGTGTTTCGCTCTCGACGCGGAACTCTTGTCGACTAATGTGCATGAGTGGCTGCAATATCGATCACGCGGTTGATTCACCGCGCAGCGCTATTCACATGTGGCGTGGGATTTTTGTTATTGAAATAAGTAGTTTTTTTCTCCGTTTGAAAAGTTTTAGATACAACGAATGGAAAGCCTAAACCCATAGATCGAACAAACTTTCTGCACACTTAACTTCAGAATCACCCAAATCAATGTTATCAGTTAAGCGCCAAGGTGTAAAAGCGCCGTGCCTTGGTGCCTCTGTTGCAAAATCCCATTCACATACCTGAACAAAGAGTGTGTATCTAGTGCAAAGCTTAATTGCCTTTTAGCCGCTACAGCAGAGTAAGAAGTTTTTTCCGACAGACGAAAACACTACTGAAATCACGAGGGAAAAATTTTAGAATGACTACTAAAACTCTAATAAAAAGAAGAAAACACGTTTTTCTCAAGGACTTGAAAAAGGTTACGGATAGCCGAAATGTACTAAAAGATTTTATACAAGCCTTTGATGAAATAAAGATTGAACAAAGTGGCATTCCAAAATTCCAAAGTAGCTGCTCTTATTCGCCTTCTTCTAGAGCGTTTTCTTTTAGTCTCTTTTTCAATGAAGATAAAATGTTAACGCATGGCAGCTATTTATTAAGAGAAGCACCACGAGTAAAATTAACAACAACGGCATCTCTCCGACGAGACCTACTAGCGTCAAGGAAAGTGATGGAGTCAATGACCCACAAGGTAGACAATGCCCATTTTGTGGACGAGGAGACTGTTGCGAGCCCGTTTGAGGATGAAAGACAGGTCAGAAACTTGCTTTGTCATATTCCATGAAAAGACTAGCGATTGCACTTCTTGTTTAATTTTTCTGAATTCACTACTGTTTTGTCTTCTGAAATGCTTTCATGAAATTCCTTTTTTGCTAATCAAAACAAGATCAAGTAAATAGGCTTCGTTTATTCTGAATTAGGAACTTAACTTTTCTTTACAAACAGTATGTAGAGTCGCTCGTGTTCTAAGCAGAAACTTGAACGGTAGTTCTTCAATTAGACATACTCTATAGATAAGCATATTATTGGAGACAAACGGAAATAGTATAATCTAAAAAAAACTTTTTTGTCATCGATCTAGGAACATAAAATGTACACCGCCTCTAGAGTTAATGACCTTAATTTAACTCATCAATAAATTTAACTGGTGCTAATAGTCGAACTATTAGATCAGTCTAAAGAGCTCGCCACAGGCCCTAAGTGGAATGCGTCATAGCAGTGGAATTCATCCGAATCTCTACCTGAAAGGAGACGAAGATATCGAAGAAGTAATAATGAAGCTGTCGGTGGCAGCATCGGACATAAGAAGGGCTCCAGTACGCAATTCAAATCCCAAAGAGCAGAATTCAGATAAAAACGCTGGAGAGTCAGGTTTTCTCGTTTACATTTATGTCTGAATTTCAGATAATCATTTCCAAAGCACTCGTTTCAGACAACGCTGAAGGGAAACTGATGAAGGAGAAAGAGACGGTGAAAATTAAGGATGGAAACAAAACATATATTCCGAAAGCATTTCAACCAATTCCGATGCCTGGTAGTTTCTCATTTCATGAATGTCTACGTGAAACTTGTCCTATCTCTGAATTCTACAAAAATCTCGGCTCTATTTAGTTTATCAGTCCGAGTCGAAAATTTGCCGTCTTGAAACCCATCTTGAAAACAACTTTATTGATCGAACTAAGCGCAATTAAAACTCAAAGAATCATGTCAAAGATACATGTCTTTCGTTTCGAGTGTTTTCTGAAGACACTGCTCAAATTTCAATATGACTGATCATCATTATTTAAGCCACGCATGTCAGTGGTCTATCAATGAGGGCTGACTAATGGAGCCCGATACACGTGTTTCGATCTTGCGATCTCGTCAGTCGGGCAGTTACCCTTTCTCGTTTTTTGCTAGTCTCTGTGGGAGCTCCAGTCCCCACAATAAGAGTTAGCGACGACGAACGTTTTATACTCTATGTCCAGTAAAATTTCCACCGAACACAGAGTGTTGTACACTCGATTGCTCTTGGCTGGTATATTCAATATATCATGTCTTTCGCTTCGGGTGTTTTCTTAAGACCACTGCTCAAAGTTCAATATTCCTGATAATCATTATTTGAGCCACGCATGTCACTGGTCTATCAATGAGGGCTGACTTATAGAGCTCGATACACGTGTTTCAGTCTTGCGATCAAAGATACATAGTCATTTGCTTCGGTAGCCTAGAATGCTGAATTCTGGATAGAAAGAATCTTATAGACGCATTTCGATTGAGTTTTATTGCCGCAGATTGTTTTCTGTAAGCTCTAATGAGAAGAAGGGAGAGATAAAGCTTTGTCGCTCAACCTGTTTAACTTCTGTAGTATAAATTCGATTTTCTCTTTCTTTTGAAGAAAAGACGAAAGCTTTATTACTAATTTAATTTAAACACTTGACGTTTCGGCGGTTTTCGCTTCTCTAAAGTCTTGGAGGTCAAACTGAGTACATTTCAGTCAACCAAATAGCTCCATAACCTCAGCAGAAAAAACTGCAAGACCTTAATTTCAGTCACGCTGACAACAAAACATTTCCACGCACTAACCTTGTTTTTTGAGCCTCTTAATGAATATACAGGCTAGAAAAATAGCACAGAGTTTCATGAATTATGTACTAGCAAGAAAAATTGTATTATTGATCAGTGCCAAGATTTCACTCTTAGAAAATTCTGCAGCACTTAATGAAGAAGGTATTCTCAAGCTTTCTTGTCGAAGAAAATTGGATTCTATATGCTGGTGAACTTTGGGCACATGAGCAGCAACTTTTGTAGGCTTTTCACGATTTCCTGACAGCGCTTCTCTTTTGTGATCAGATCATGAGGATTGAGCACTTTGCAGCAGATAATCCTATTAACGATAGACAAAAGGTCACCATAATTACTATGTGGCTTTCGGAAATAGAATACCCGGTTTTAGCTGATGGTTGTTGTCAACACCTGCTATGTGCCCACGACTTAGTCACTTATGAGGGCTCATATCTTCACACAAAATCTAATCATAGTTCATGAGTGGTGGCGCAAATGTGCCTCGGTGGTGTAGTGCTAGAACACGCGTCTCTAGATAGGATGAAACGCTGGTTTGATTCCCGCCTGAGGCTTTGTTTTTGCTCACCACTCAGTTCTCTTAGGTGTACATGAAAAATAATAACACTGCGAAAAATGCAATGAGAATACAGAAGTTTCGAGCACTAGTTATTGTTACTTGATTGTATTTGAACTCCAATGAGCTGCTTTTCAAACTATCTTTTTTTCATCAAGAAATGGCAGTATTCGAGAATCAGCACAAGGAGGACGTGATAGTGGAGGATATAACGAAGGTTGATACCGGCGGCGATACAAAGGCGCAAGTTAGCAAAGAAAGTGGAAGTGCGCATGAGGAGCTTGCAGGTCTTGCTTTTGTTTTATATCAGGATCATAGATGTACTTTCAGTGGAAAAAGCTAAGCTGTCAATGCCATATTTTTTAGGCTGTTATTAAAATACTTTTTTCTTCTACTTTTACGACACCCGGAATCATATTTCATCAGGGCGAATCCTTGCACTTACGGCATCTCTTAGCATTCATTGCCTCGAAGGCCTTAGAATATTTCGCGTATTGTTTTGATTGATAATTGAGGACTTTACCATCTTCAATGAATGTCATGGAATATTGGTTTACTCAGAGCTCTTTGCAGCCTGAGCTAGCGTATTCCCACGCAATTGCACGGAAGATAATCACTCGGCAACCATCACCTCTCTCCCTACTTTATTTTGCTTATAAAATGAATGTTTTCAAAAGATCGAATCCTTGAATCTAATTAATGCCAAAGAGCTTAATTGTTTTGTTTGATCAGTTTTTTTGTGATTTTTAATACTTTATAAATCATATAATTCAATAACAGCATTCTACATTGAGCCTTTAAGCTTTACAAAGCTTCAACCATTCAAATTACTTTTTGTTTTAAACTATAATTCAGACGTTCTAAAAACAAATCTGGTGCTGGTGAGTTCAAAATCCTTCATTGGAGGTGTCATCACGACGACACAAGCGGAGGTTCGAAAGTATTTCAATTCAGATTGTTTTCTTTAGAAAAGCTTGCCTTATTTGTGGATTCAATTCTATCAAAAGAACTATCGAACTGTAGCTTTAGGGGAGCAACTTAATACGAACTTTCGATGTGCTTCATTTTATTTTGTCTAATTGCATACAATTTTTCAACAAGAATGGAAGTTAAGATTTCAGGCAGCATTAAGATAATTACAGTCATAATGTTTTGCAGAAATCATCGGCATTTGATGGTATCGAAGAATCAACGACAATTTCCACTAGGACACCTTCAACGACTGAGTATAACCCAGCTACGTTTTATCACACTCCACTTCCAAAGCCACCTAAGAAAGAGAAACGTGAGTTCACTTAATCTCTGCTCATTGAAAGTGAATAGCACTGAATATGGATTCAATGTATATTATTAGCTTCTGATCTTAGTACTGTGACTTGATAGCATTTCGTTCGTGGTAATAACAAGATAGGGTTAGTAAAACACATGATAAGGCTGACATTAAACCGGGAGCTCAGAGAACCTCTACGATGGGTTCCAATTACTATTTGAATTCTTGCAGTTTTAACGTTTTGCACGAAAGATGTCGCTCTTCGTGACAATCGCAATATGGTGGTCGCCTGTGGAGGAGAACGCGATGTTTGGCTGCCGATTAGGTGTCCCCAGGGAGCCAGCTGTCTCATTGCACAAGATAGTACTTATAGATTGTGCTGTCCCGTGTCAACAATATGACCACTTTATTTCAAATCAATTTGTTCTAGTACTTTGAAGGAAGTACATGCAACGAGTAAGCACTTAATACATTGAAGTCTTGCGGACATATATGAGTCGCAAATCTCAATACTTGAGTTACCCCAGTTTTTTCATTCCGTCGAAGTTTGTAGCAAGAGAACAGGTTTTTTTTTGCATAGCTTGTGATCTGACCTTGTAATCAAAATCTACTAATCTATCATGGTGGCACAGAAGGAAGACGTGTCTGCGAATTCTTAATCACAAAGCGACCTCTGACCGTGCATCATTATATGTTAGATGAAGTTGTACGTGGAGCGGATTGCATTTTGGTGTCTTTTATTACTCAAAAATCTTCGTATCACCGACTAGACGGCTACTCCACAGCTATTATTACATTGAGTTTTATTATATACGAGCTTCATAAACTTGAACGATATTCACTAAATTGTCTTTCACTTAGTGGGTAATCTCTAACTCGTTCCGTCTTTCAGTCCTTTTGATTTATGCTACACTTCTTATTATATAATATTAGCACCCATGTGTTAGAGATTGATAATTGACATATCGATGAAACGCTGTATGCATTCATTCATTCCCTTTCTTTAATCTCATTCCTTTATTGCTCTGCTTTTTTTGTCTGTATCTTATTCATGAGAAAGTAAAGATAAATTAAACGAAAACTCTTATATAGTTATCCAATTAGAAGCTGAAAATTATTCTTGACCTGTGAAACTGATTTTGCATTAGAGGTTTTCGTTTTCATTTAGAGGCTATCAAAGTGTCGTACAACCGATAACCCTTTGTTTATTTTTACTTTTCATTCGAAAACGCCTATTTAAAAAAGACTAGTGAGTATTATAGGAAGGCGATTTATTCAGAACTGTAAATGACCTAATTTAAGGGCTATAGTCTGAAAGTGTTAACATTTTTGATGTGGAGTAAAATATACTTTTACACAGAAAGCAATGTGGACATTAAGCTCCACAACAGCACTGACACATTTGATAAGAGGTCACGAAAAATCGGAGAGGAATAAAGAAGAAGACAAAATGGAAAATATATGCAGGATTTATATACAGAAACCTTGTCGATCAGTAGGGATTGAGAAAAGAGGATAAGTACAAAAGAGGACAGTAGGGATAAGTTAAGTACGCTCAAAGTGAATCAAGGAATCTAGGCATCGACTTTTAGATGAGTGCCTGAGTATAGATGCATGTTCCTATCTGGAGATTATAGGATGAGATATAGATTCGCTTTTGTTCAAAAACTATACTGCCAACTGCTGAATGTTGAAGTTTCTCATAAACTTCAAATATTCGTTATATCGACTTTTGGCATAACTAAAATTGTTGAGTTATTGAAGAACCAGATTATAGCTCAACAATATCTCATACCTGGCATAGTCGAAATCCAACGTTGAATTCTGTGATTGAACTATAGCCCAAGCCGACCATAAGAGATGAGAAAGCTGAATAATCTATTGTCAGTTTTTTAATATATCTTGTGCATTCACTATAGAAATCTGCCTTTTGAATTTAGTTCCATAGCGCTACAATTGACGAAACATTTAAGTCACATAACAGAAATGTGCACTAGTACTTTCACATGCTTTAAGATTTTTTGCGCCAGCTCATCTGTCGATCCAGTTAACAAACGAAGCACGTAAATCAAAACAGGAGGATATTTGGAGTTGAAGAGAAAATATGTTAGCCCTTCCACACCGGTCGTTGATAGGAACCGGAGTTGTGCTGGTCGCTCGCGCAGCAGTCGGCGCGATCGACGTTGCAAATTGAGCGCACTGTTTTTACAATGTTGTAGTTCTGCAGAAAGATTCAGCCTTTCATCGTCACTGTGGGAGATTTTGTCATCAGTGAAGAGACGGAATACGAATGAAGAGACTTGAAAAGGATATTCATAGTTGAAACAATTACAAAAAAGTGAATTGTTTGTGCAAAGGGATACTACACATTGCACGTTCCCCTTCGTCGATAGTTCCCAACGGATTAAGACTGTACTTCAGGGGTTGCAAGCTTTATAGAATAATTTTCTGATTAAACATAGTTTTTTATAGTTATTGAAGAGAATTTTGTGATTAGTGAATGGTATGATGGAAGAGATCTTATAGCCCATGGTTAATACGAACAACACTAATATTTCGTGAAATCCCATATTTTTTCAACAGGGAGACTACATAGTTACGTGAGACGGCTTATCTCCAACTGTTACTAATCATGCTATCTTGTCTATATTAACTGCTGTTTGAATCATATTTATCTTTCGTTTCTTATATCAAAAACGATCTTTTTCAAGCGCTGCAGTAAACGAATAATTAGTCAAGTAGTTAAATAGACATTCATTAGGTGTACTTATGTGAGTTCGCCGTTTCTTTATTTTTGCAGTAATAGTAGTGAACATAAATACCTTTCGTTTCGAGTGTTTTTTTGAGGCCACGCTCAACTTTCAATGTGCCTAATAGTTATTTTTGAGCCAGTCATGTGGTTTGTTATGGTCACATATATAGTGTAATACACGTGTCTCGGCCTTGCAGCCTATTCAATCGCATGTACCTTTTCGTTCAGTCAGTTCATCGGGGATCTACCATATTATGAGGAGTCACGAAAAACGTTTTACATGCGTCGATAAGTGACAGAATTACCGAATGGATAATGTCGCACACTCGACTGCTCTTGGTTGGTAATCGTGAAATAACATACCTTTCGTTTCGAGTGTTTCACGGATATTGAAATTTGAGCGTGATCTTGAAAATGCTTGAAGCGAAACGTATATTTCAGGATTACCAGGAGCAATCGAGTGTACAACACTGCCCATTCGGTGATTTTATCGCTTATCAGCGCGAGTAAAACGGTCGTCGACTCCTCTTGTAAGGAGTAGATCCTCGAGAAACTGATGAGGTTGGAAGGCCGAAAAACGTGTATTGCACTGTGTAAGGGCCCATAACAGACCACATGCTTGACTCAAAAACAACTATCAGACATAGTAAATGTGCAAATTCTTTCTCCAAGACTTTGAAAATGACGACATCAGTTTCCGGATTCGCCACTTGCAGGAATATTACTTCGAAGAGATACTAATTAAAAGAAACTGAAATTGCTTAATTCTGGTATTATTTAACTGCACATTTCCTTCAAAAAATTTTGGCATACAACCTACCTATACTTGCTATGAGATGGAGCTGTAGTGGGAGCAAATTCGCTTGTTACTCATGCACTAGTGGCGCGTAGGGGAACGATGCTAGTAAAACAGTGCACCAGATTAATGGAGATTGGAGTGCGCTTCATCATAAAACAAGTACATGTAAGTTGTATA